AGTTGGTTAGAGCTTGACAACTGGCCTCTGTAGCTCAGTTGGTTAGAGCTCGACAACTGTCTCTCTGTAGCTCAGTTGGTTAGAGCTCGACAACTGGCTTCTGTAGCTCAGTTGGTTAGAGCACTGCACCAAAATCACAGGGCAGCAGGTTTGATTCCTGACAGAGGGCAAATAGTTGCATTTTTCGCAACGGCTCCTGGTTAGATCTAAAGCCTGTTTTCCACTTCAAGCGTATCGTACCGGAACGTACTGGTGAGCATGCGCAGATTGGAAATAGGTTGATCAAATCACGTACTTCTGGGTATATCAAAATGAAAAGTTCGTTGCGAGTCAACTTTTGGCGTAATGCTGAAGTACTAACCAATCAACATTCACTAAATTTTTTGATAAATTTCGGTACGGTACGCTTGCAGTGGAAAACGGGCTAAGCTGATAAATGTATAAAAAATCGACATGAAACTTTCATCTACAAAATCCTTTCATAACTTACTCTCCAATTTCCGCATCCGGTGTTTCCATTCTTTCCTTTTCTTTCATTATTTCATTTAAATTATACAAAGCACGACGCAGTTCATTCAGACGCATGAGACAAGCCCTGGAAGAGATACAATTAAACTTCAGATGACTTCGAACAGTTTTCGTGATACGGAAGTGTGATACGGAAGAACTATTTTTCCTTGGTAAATAAATCTAATCGCTTAACATGGGTTTATATCATCTTAAAAGCTCGGTTACCTTCGCTCCATTCTATATTTTAATACATTATCAGAACAGTAGAAACTACTATAGACATTATCAGAACAGTGGCAATTCCACCCAATTCACTCACATACAATTACTTTATCACAACAGTGATAACTTGGCAGGGGGGGGGGGGTTGTCTGAAAATGTGATTTAAGTATAATTAAAAGTCTCCCTCGGGAGATGACATGGCCACCAAAGGAAAAGGAACTTGAGACAGATAAGTTCAAGGTTGTGGCTGAAGGGGATGAACGAGAGGTAGGTGACCGTGAGAGGTCTGGGTCTAGTTGCGTGTTTATTTTTCGTGTTCGTGGTACACGCGTGAGCAACTCACTAAGTGAAAAGAAATAATAGAACTTCATAATATATTCAATCTAGTCCCCGGACATTATTCTGGTTCATACCTGACAGTATTCTGTGCATGAAGAATGGTTCCTTTCAAATCTTCGGGCGTACTTAGTTGGAAGTAGAAACCCATGCGTTGTTCAAGTTCGGACACTTCCTGTAACAGAAGAAACGTCCGGACTAAACTTATGCTCGTGATGCAGGAAAAAAGCGGGAAATCAACAGTCGTATATCCTATACCTTCTTCTGTGGTTCTGTGTACAGCAGTACGTTGCTAACGATATCAAGAATGAGAGCGTATTGTGCCTAAAAGTAAACAGAGGAAGAACCGTTTAGAACTGATAGAGCTATCCAGCATAAATAAGGTTAGTTTAGTTTAAGTTTCCTGCATGTAATAACACTGGATCAATAAGAGATGATCCTTACTGGACCTCTAGGAAGAACACTTTATAACTGATAGAGCTATCCAGCATAAATAAGGTTAGTTTAGTTTAGGTTTCCTGCATGTAATAACACTGGATCAATAAGAGAAGATCCTTACTGGACCTCTAGGAAGAACAGTTTAGAACTGGTAGAGCTATCCAGCATAAATAAGGTTAGTTTAGTTTAGGTTTCCTCCTGTAGTAAAATTTAGAACTGTTAGAGCTATATAGTATTGAAAAGGTCAGTCTAGTGTACTCCGATACCGTGACGTACAGAATTAATGCAGATCTCCAACACAGGATGCTTGAGAGTGAAGGTGTTCACTGGATCCCAGGCACTTTGATTATCACGAAGTTTTGAAGATGGTGACGGGGCAGGCTAAAAAGAAAATAAAAATGTAAGAAATGTCCACAGACAAAAGAGACTCCAGCAAGCTCAATCATGACGGGCAAAGTCCGCAAGTACAGGTAGATTTGCCAGAAAAATTCAGCCAAAGTTACTATCCCTAAATTTATATAGTTTTCAGTTAAGTATAAACAAGAGTTTTACTGTAGTAAGTTCACTGCCAATCAAATTCTTTCGCAGCTCATGTGTGCTGAAAGCGAGTGAAATAATCTTATGAAAAGTAAATTTTATTATGCACAAGCAATTCTAACTATGACAAATGACAGTACAGTATTGACAATTGTACCAAGTTATTTTCTCACCGTATTGGAAGCAGGAACTGCCTCTAATCCATCTTCCAGTTCGTCGTCAAAACTAGCGTAATAAAACTGACATCCACACCTGGAAACAATTCTCTGTAACTTCGTGTTCGTCGCTACCATGTTATCAACTAGAGATCCAATACAGTCACCAGTACCCAGCACGGAGCTCAGGTCAGTTAGATCAATTCCCGTGTTTTTACGTCGAGCTTGAATCGTGCTCGAGTCTAACCACAAGTTGTCTGTGTTCGTGATATCTTCATTTGAACCCACTGTACAAAAATACTGAGAGAAACAGAGACTTTTGTTATTGGAATGAGTACTCTAGTTTAGTTCTATCCAACTTTATGAATACTTTCGAAAAGAACGATACCTGCATATTTTCCAAATGTCCGACCCATGTTTTCTTATTCAGCAGCTTTCTTCCACTCTGCGTAGGACGATGTAAACGATTGAGAACCTCGGCATTACCCGCAGTGACCAGCAGGCAGCCAGAGTTTTCAATGCCTTTTAACATCACTTGAGAGTTTACGAATTCAACTAAAGAAAAAATTCGAAGTTTTCCTTAAGGTAATCCCATTTTGTTTTGTAGTAATACTACTAATACTGGACCAATACTAAATTGTCCTTACTGGGCCTCTGGGGAGAACAGTTTAGAACTGATAGAGCTATCCAGTATAAATAAAGTTAGTTTAGTTTAGGTTTCCTCCTGTAGTAACACTGGATCAATAAGAGATGACTCTTACTGGACCTCTAGGAAGAACAGTTTAGAACTGATAGAGCTATCCAGTATAAATAAAGTTAGTTTAGTTTAGGTTTCCTCCTGTAGTAACACTGGATTAATAAGAGATGACTGTTGCTGGATTTCTAGAGAGAACATTTTAGAACTGATAGAGCTATCCATGCAGTATAAATAAAGTTAGTTTAGGTTTCCTCCTGTAGTAACACTGGATCAATAAGAGATGATCCTTACTGGACCTCTAGGGAGAACAGTTTAGAATTGATAGAGCTATCCAGTATAAATAAAGTTAGTTTAGTTTAGGTTTCCTCCTGTAGTAACACTGGATCAATAAGAGATGACTGTTACTGGACCTCTAGGAAGAACAGTTTAGAACTGATAGAGCTATCCAGTATAAATAAAGTTAGTTTAGTTTAGGTTTCCTCCTGTAGTAACACTGGATTAATAAGAGATGACTGTTGCTGGATTTGTAGAGAGAACAGTTTAGAACGGATACAGCTATCCAGTATAAATAAAGTTACAGTAGTTTAGTTTAGGTTTCCTCCTGTATTAACACTGGATTAATAAGAGATGACTGTTGCTGGATTTCTAGAGAGAACAGTTTAGAACGGATACAGCTATCCAGTATAAATAAAGTTACAGTAGTTTAGTTTAGGTTTCCTCCTGTATTAACACTGGATCAATAAGAGACGACTCTTACTGGATTTCTAAAGAGAACAGTTTGAACGGATAGAGCTATCCAGTATAAATAAAGTCAGTTTAGGTTGACTTACAATGCCATCGTTGTTCATGTACGTCCTCGGAGTTACAGAGGGCATAGCCACCTGATTGCGTCTCGTCAGTTGTACCCTAAATAAAAAATAAAGAAATGAAGTAGCAGTTGGAGAAAACGAAATACGAACAAGAAGAATACGACCACGAAGCAGGACACGAAGAATAATAATTCATTAATACACTGATACATATGTACACTACATACACACGTCTCTTGACTTTGGCCCGTTCTAAGCCATAGATATCTTATATACACTAGATAGCGCATCTCTTTTAGTAAAATTGAAGCCAAGAATATTCCAGCGGTTACCCCCATTTGAATAGATGGCGGCCATATCGGAGTTTCCCACTCGCTAATAAACGCTTAAAAAAACAACAATAACTTTCATCATTTGAATAGTTTAAAAATGTATTTGGAATAGGGTTAACTTAATCTTTAAGTTCCCTGTTTAAGAAATAGGAAACATACGAATCTTCTCATTTCATGGGAACGACCTGAGACTGCAATCACGGTTTCAATTTTTGAATTGCACAATAATTAGATGCACTATCTAGTGTATATAAGATATCTATGTTCTAAGCCCTAACTTTCCATGGGTGTTGTAAGCTACACCACTGCACCGAAATTTTTTCCACCTCCCCCACTATTTCCACCAAAGTCCGTACCTCCTCTGTTTGAACATAAAATTTCGAAGAATCAGCAGACTCCGAGACCAGTTTATCGAGTAAGACATCACTTGTAGTTGATCGAGGTCTGGACCCAGGTACATCTGCATCGTCACCCCCCTGGAAAAATAAATACAAGGGGACGTTTTAGTTTCTGTATTTCTGCACGTCTGTTCATTACAAAACTTCAGAGAAGAAAACTCCTACCGATCCAGACAAGATCTCTAAAAAAATATTTCCAAATTTATAAACAAGCTGTCAGGAAGTTTGCTTTGAATTGTTGGTTAACCCAGGGTTAAGCTAATCGCCTTTTGAACAACCTGCCAAAGGTCTTCACAGTAAGTGAAACAGGGACAGCCAGTCGAACATAAAATATTAAAGAAACATAAAATATTAAAGGTCTTTCAATGGACAAGTGAGCACTAATTATAAGCTGTTAAACACGACCATGGTAACATGGTTATAACTTAAGGAGTACTCACTTTGTCTTTGAATACAGTAAAACGGAAAATTCTCTATGAAATGCCATCCAAAAATGTCCCCCACCCCCGAAAAATGGTCCATCCCCTCAAAATATCCCGCTTCACACTCCAGCCAAAAATATCTCCGTAACTGTCCATAGAAATATTAAAATCCATGTTTACAGGTTGCTCACCTCCATTTTTCCACCAATAGTTTTCGTGAAAAGATCGTCCAACTTCGTTTGGCTCGTCGAGAGTCGACGTGTTGACGAATCCCTCCGAGTACTGACGTCGGGGGAAGCCTCAGGCACTGCAGTGGTCTTCCATAGCAAGAATTAAAAAATATTTTAAAATCACTACAGAAAAATATTGGCGAAGAATGCAGGGATGTTCATACCTTATTGTCAACTTTAGCAAATTTCAGAGCATCAGCTGATAAATCTCTTTTCAATTGCTGAATTGATACGAAAAAAATTAAATTTAAACTTTACCTATAGCTTGGTCTAACTCACATGCCTAGTCACCATTTTTTTGATAATGTAAGCACAGAATGGAACAAAGGTACCCAAACATTTAAATTATATATGTGAGTGTATTGGGTGGCATAACTCACATGTCTAGTCACTGTTCTGATAATGTAAGCATAGAATGGAACAAAGATAACCAAGCATTTAAATTATATATGTGAGTGAATTGGGGATGGGATAACTCACATGCCTAGTTACCACTGTTCTGATAATGTAAGCATAGAATGGAACAAAGGTAACCAAGCATTTAAATTATACATGTGAGTGAATTGGGTGGGATAACTCACAAGCCTAGTCACCACTGTTCTGATAATGTAAGCATAGAATGAAACAAAAGTATCCAAGTGAATTGGGATTGAGTTTCAACGGATTACTTCTATGACAAAAAACCTCCAGGAGAAATGAACTATGCTGCACTATAGTCTACTGTACCTGCGATCGTGTGTATGTTTCCACTAGGCCAAAACTCAATTTTCTATTTGTCAATGTCCATACTCCACGGAAATTATGACAGACTAGATTATGAGTGTAATCCTGTCAGAATATATAAGTTGACATTATAATGCTGTCATCTTTTTAATCCTCTTAACAAGTTCACAATACGGAACAATCATCGTTATGCTTCAAATTTACTATACCTCCAAATTATCTGACATTGTTCCATCAATTTCCGTTTGTTCTTCAAAAGTATTTAATTCCTTTCGCTTATAAACCAGTCTGAAAAATAGAAAGCATTAGGTTTTTATAGAAACAGGATAAGAGTTGACAAACGTTGACAAGTGAGAGTTGTGTGAGAGTTTCCTTAACTCCTTATGAAGACCAGTACTTTATCACGAGGGTCACAAGTTTATTAGTTGTAAAACTATTATGTGTTAGCCTCGTTAAATAAAGTTTAAATGAAATAAAAATGAAACTCCTACGGCTGTCTCAAATAAGAAGACGAGTTGTATGAATGTTGACAAGAGAGAGTTTCTGCAAAGTTTCATCAGGGTACATTGCTCTATTTGATAAACAAGAACTTCATCCACGTCCTACCCAGCTTCATAAGATCTGAGTATGGATAAAACCTGAGTGAGCGTTTGGACAAAACGCCTAAAAACATACCTATCTACATGTCCAAGATAGAATTTTGATGGCTCCAAAGTTTTTGGTTCGAAAACGTCCTTGTCAGGTCCAGAACTTTCCTAAAAAGGTTCAGCACAATACAGAACATGTACGTCTAAATATACGAAGATATTTATTGTACAGTGTTAAATATACAGAAGAAAACTGGAGAGTCAAACTGGAAACACTCTTCTCACATGCGAATGAGGTGAAATCATATCGTTTATTAAACAGTACTTAATTGTTTCTTAGCTGCTTTAATGCGCTCTATTTATTAATTTTACTCTAATTATATCTTAGCTGCGTTGAATAAAATTCTTGTCTTCCAACTTCTGGATGAACGAAGATCGGGGAAGATTAAAAGTAAGACTTTTTTGGCAACGAAATAATACAATAGATCTTACCGATTATTCTCTTTTACCTTCGTTTCCATGTTGACTTATTTAAGCATGTCAGGGGCAGATAAAGATTATATTCCTATGTTTCCCTGAAAGAATTTGTTTCTTGCTGTTCTTAAGCCCTGTTTAAACGGATCCAACATTGTTGGACCAACATCATCCAACATTGTTGAAATAATGGCTCAAACGGCTTCTTTTTCAAATATTTTTGTCAAGACTAGGTTTAGAGTTTGAGTAAAGCTTATCTAACCAAAAAGATTTGAAAGAGAAGCAGTCATATCTAGTATAGTAACATTGTCGGATGATGTTGGTCCAACAATGTTGGATCCGTTTAAACAGGCCTTTAAGCTCAATAACAAAATAATTTTCAACTCTACTAAGCACAAAACACGAGGCCATTGGGAAAAGAGAATAATTGGGAAGGTCTATTCTATTGTTACTGTACAAAATAAGACACATAAATACAATATTATTCGAACCTGATTAGGAGCAGACTGTTCATCACTCTCGTTCCCAGGCTCCTTCTCCTCCACACATGTGACGTAACAGGTGACGTCCTCAATTTCACTATCCAGTTTAATTATAGTCCAGGTGGCCGCCGGTCTTCGAACCAAGCCATCCTTGTACTCTGACAAGCCAACTCTGTAGACTGTATTCAAGCTTCCTGTGCCAAGATTCAGCTCAGCTCCTAAATGTTTTGTGACGGAGCCCCAGTAAAATACACTGAGCTGGGGGAATTTTAAGTTGAAGCCAACATTTCTGAAAATAAATTATAATAACGAACTTAGACAATGGTTGTTAGGTACAAGGAGGTCACAAAAAGTTCCTAAATGCTTGGTAAGTGATTTCATATTATTCTGACACTGCAATAGAACAACGAAAAATTCGTTGGCTGGAGCGGGATTTGAACTCGCATCTTCGGGTATCTATGCGAGTTCAAATCCCGCTCGAGCCAACGAATTTTTTGTTGGTCGATTGCAGTGTCAGAATAATATGAAACTGGTTTTTCGTATCTCTGAGGATGGTTCTGAAATAGACTTGATAACTGAACCCCAGTAAAATACACTAGGCTGGGGGAATTTTAAGTTGAAGCCAACATTTTTGAAAATAAATTATAATAGCGAACTTAGGAAATTGTTGTCAGGCACACGGAGGTAACAAAAAGTGCCTACATGCTTGGTTGCTGAGCCACAGTAAAATAAACACTGAGGCCAGCATTCCTGCAATGAAAATGATGTGTAATAATTTCAAACTCATTAATAATTCATGAGTAAATTAGCCAACCATATTGCTTTATTTTGCTCACGTGATAATACTGGATACCTGATGAAGTACATTGATCCAATCCTAGGACTGGATCAAAATTAATTCAGTCCTTGGACTGGATCAAAATGAATTAAGTAGTTATTCGTATGAGATGTCATTTCAAATCCTCCAATTCGGACTGGACTAGGTTTCAAGTCCTCGCATTTTGATCCAGTCCTCTGCTTCGCCTCGGACATAATCAAATTGTGTGGACTTAAAATCTAGTCCAGTCCTCATAGTCGGGTTTGAAATATTACATGAACCACGCATAATTGTTAAGGCACTTCATGGAAATTGGAAACAATGTAGGACATTGATAATTTGCCAACCTGTAGTGGCGACTTAGCGGTTTTCTCTTGGGCATGATTCTGTTGAATATCGAGCCTTTCTTAATTGGACGACTGACATTCCGCCAAACAGCAGCCTAAGATACGAAAAATATCGTGATAAACATAACCTGGATATTTTACATCCTAATAACTTCAATCACGTTATAATAATACCTGGAAATTCTGAAACCATCTGAATGTACTGGCGTAAAGAAGTATGGTGGGAACGTCGTCCTCCTTCATAGAAAGAAAGAATCTACGTGAGCCAAACACAGAGAGATAAACAGGCCAAACGAACAAACAATCTGGGCTTTTGTCATTGTGATAATACACAACTTTGTATGTGGATGGAAACAAAAGTGTACCCACAGAAAACAGTTAACCCCATCTCTAAAGCAGTACCTTTAATCGTTCAGCGTCCACTTCAAATGATATATTTAAACTAAGGTTCTGTGATCTGAATGCAGCATAGGAATCATGAACCTAAGAGATAAAAATCATTAAAAATAATGTAGTCAACTTGTATATGTGAAGCTATAAACAGCAATGGAGACATTTTACTTGTAAACATTTAGTCCCATGGTAATGGTAGATTTCTATTGTCTAGTAATATTTAATGGCATAGTTCAGCGTTTTGAACCCTTTCAATTGAAAAAAAACAAACTAACTAGGAAAATCAATTAAGCATAATTCAATTAAGACCAATGAACTCAATGTTTTTAACAATACAAAATGTTTTAAAATGTTAAAAACATTGACTTTACTGATCTTGAATTATGTTTAATTGATTTTCCTAGCTAGTTTTTTCAATTAAAAGGGTCGTAATGCGCCTTAAAACCCATCATTCAAAAGGCTGAACTGTGCATTTAATTTGTTATTATCCTCCATTAGGCAATGCATGGAACTGTCCAGGTTATTTTTTACAATCAGTGACTCTTACCTGTCCAGGAGGTAGTTGAGGCAGTTTGTTAGGTGCACATGGTCTGATGTTATAGTGATTATTCGCATCACCCTCCTCGCGGCAATGCCATACCAGATCAGCACTGAAATGACGAAAATACGAGAAATAAACATCACACAGTTACACATGCATGGACCTTCTTAGGTGCGCCCTATGGGCGCTTTCCATATAATGGCCTGACTGGTCAGACCCGAATTCTTTTCTCTGTACCAATGGGAAAATCTGGACCTCATTCTAATGTTATCTAAATTTTCCGGTCATATAGGTCGGAAGCCAAAATGTTTTGTGTTCCATTCAACAATCTGACCGTTCTGACCGTGTTAATGGAAAGCGCCCTTAGACTCTAAATGACCGAGTCTAGCAGATTGCAGGATGGATATTTATAAAGCGAAAACTTACCGAAACTTCAAGGCAGGAAGATGAAGAACACAGCAGTCATCGTATTTGGACGCAGTCCGAGTAAACAGATCAAAATCACCAAATATCTCAAAACATGCTGCAATGTAAGAACAAATGATGAGACGGAGTGATGGAATACGCCTGGTACCACTGACCTCTAATCTAAGACCAGCACTCCAGTACACTAACCGTTGGTCCAATCAAATCTCACATTTCTCCATTCAATCTCGAGTTGTTCAGATTTATCATAAGGATTTCTTGTTGCTCGCCAGTTCAGTTGCCATTCTTTTATATTCATCGAAAGTCGACCGTGAAGTAATAACCGCATCTAAGTAGAGAAGACAAAGGCGTGTCATTGAAATATCATCAGGGAGGTCCAGTGTAGGTAGTGTTCTACAATAAGCTGTCGTGGTTTGTGTCTGAACTACCTGAAAAAGATATCTCAAACGTGCTGGTCCAGTGTGTGTAGTAATCTACAATAAGCTGCCGTGGTTTGTGTCTGAACTTCCTGAAAAAGATATCTCAAACGTGGTGGTCCAGTGTAGGTAGTTTCTACAATAAGCTGTCGTGGTTTGTGTCTGAACTACCTGAAAAAGATATCTCAAACGTGGTGGTCCAGTGTGTGTAGTAATCTACAATAAGCTGCCGTGGTTTGTGTCTGAACTACCTGAATTAAAAGATATCTCAAACGTGGTGGTCCAGTGTAGGTAGTGTTCTACAATAAGCTGAGCACTGTGGTGTTTGTGTCTGAACTACCTGAAAAAGATATCTCAAACGTGGTGGTCCAGTGTAGGTAGTGTTCTACAATAAGCTGTCGTGGTTTGTGTCTCAACTACCTGAAACAGTTCGAATGCTTTCCTGCTAGTTGAAACAAAACACGTCAGATTAGTAAGGACTAGTGACTGTTTAAGAACAGACATGAACAATGCTATTACCTTGTCCCAAAATGGCAAGCTAACACTTGGGTCAACACTGGCTTTATTGATATGCTCTAAACAACGATATTATCATAGGGTATTATTACTATTATCAAAGGCAAAGTGGCCCGATAGTTTCACCAGGTTTTTTTTGGATGATAACGAAATGAACAAAATTTACAAACCAAACGCTATGTTGACCATGGCATAGGCAGGTTCGATATCCACGCCCCAACTCATTTCAAGCTTTTGAAAATCTAAATTGCAAATATAATCCATTATAATTGCAACAAAAATAACATCTAGCAGAAATAATATCACAATAATGTAGAAATACTTACCAAAATTCAAATCGTGGAAATATTTCAAGGGCGTCATTCCTCGGCTGACTTCCTGGTCGCCCCAAGGCGGAGGAATTTCCACTACACAAGTACGCTTGGCTAGAAATGTTTACACAGAATTAGGATGGGTATTGAGAAATGCGATAGGAGCGCGGACAAAATATAAATGTCCCAAAATTTGTGTCGACGTGGGTGGGGGACCTATACCCACTTGTTTGGGGGGGGGGGGTGGCTACGCCCTTGTCCCCATCTCAGTGATGAAAATGAAGTGGTAATACCTCGCTCACACGCTGCTTGCTCTGCACCAATCAGACGACCAGAAATTTCAAATAATTCACACAAAAATAACGGCTGCTCGTAATCACGTAGCGTGAACTAAACGGAGGAGACAAGACATAAACTTTATTTATACTGCCTAGAGGTCAAATTAGGGCCATCGCCTTATTGATCCAGTGTTAATACAGAAGGAAATCATGAACTCTGAACTAAATTGAGTGTACTGGACAGCTCTATCAGTTCTAAACTGTTCTTCCTAGAGGTCCAGTAAGGATCATCTCTTATTGATCCAGTGTTACTACAGGAGGAAACCTAAACTAAAATAACTTCATTTATACTGGATAGCTCTATCAGTTCTAAACTGTTCTTCCTAGAGGTCCAGTAAGGATCATCTCTTATTGATCCAGTGTCACTACAGGAGGAAACCTAAACTAAACCAACTTTATTTATACTGGATAGCTCTATCAATTCTAAACTGTTCTTCCTAGAAGTCCAGTAAGAATCATCTCTTATTGATCCAGTGTTACTACAGGAGGAAACCTAAACTAAACCAACTTTATTTATACTGGATAGCTCTATCAATTCTAAACTGTTCTTCCTAGAAGTCCAGTAAGGATCATCTCTTATTGATCCAGTGTTACTACAGGAGGAAACCTAAACTAAACCAACTTTATTTATACTGGATAGCTCGATCAATTCTAAACTGTTCTTCCTAGAAGTCCAGTAAGGATCATCTCTTATTGATCCAGTGTTACTACAGGAGGAAACCTAAACTAAACCAACTTTATTTATACTGGATAGCTCTATCAGTTCTAAACTGTTCTTCCTAGAAGTCCAGTAAGGGTCATCTCTTATTGATCCAATGTTACTATACAGGAGGAAACCTAAACGAAACTAATTTTCTTCATACTGGATAGCTCTATCAGTTCTAAACTGTTCTTCCTCTCTTATTGAACCAGTGTTACTACAGAAGGAAACCGATGTACCAGGAGAAAACCTGTGGTGTTTGGTAGAGTCAAACTGGAAGCACTCTTCTTACATGTGACTGAGGTGAAATTATAATGAGACAACTGCATATTGCAGAAATTAAACCCTGGTCACAGAGATGAACGAAACATGCTCTAACGACTGTGACATCGACACCGCACAACATTAAGCATGATTTGTATAATTAAAGTGCTTTCATGATTCAGCTGTTGTTTACTCGTATTTTAAACGTGTTAAATTCTATCGTTTACTCAGCTTTTCAAACTATTCAAGCAATATATTAAAGCGACTGAATAATTAATTTAAAAAAGAAAAACTTCACAGCTAATATACCATGTCATGCATTTAAAATGTAAAACACTCAAAACCCGATATTTTGCAGATAATTGAGTTAAAGGAAGAATCATGCTAAATTGGTATGGGCGCCACAATTATTGCCAATTAAAGAACCAAGTATTCAAACCAACGTTGCAAAATTAATATTAACATCTAGAATTAATATAATAGATGTCATATTCACTCATTTATCTGTGGAGGAAATATAATTTGAAGGTATAAGCAATTTTGCAGTGTTCCAAAGGTTCACGTCACAAATGATCAGACAAGACAGATTTAATGACCGGTTTTCAGAAGGCCTAATATTTTTGTACCATATTAATTCCTTATCGGTATAGCGTAAACTGTCAGTCCTAAACTTCGAAAATAATGAACTGTCCGATAAAAAAATAATTAATTTTCGTATATACTTTCAAACAGGTTAAAAACCGAAATTTTATTAAATTTCTTTCCATACAACGAGAACAATTCGGTCATAATCAATTTAAACGACAATTCGTTTCGTTGAAAATGCAATTAATTTACGCGCATTTTGGGATGAATATTGAACAAATTAATTATGCTGTTATATTTGTGTATATTTACAAGGAAAGGTTATTAAAACTACGAAATACGAACTATGCTTATATATGCCATATAGCATGAAGCATGAGCGACCATATTGTATAAGAAATATACAAACATGAGGCAGGCGTGTTGTTAGGCCACATAAAAAAAATAGTTGGTTAGCGTCCTTAGCTTTTGCCAAAAAGTGGGCGGGTGGGCGCTTTTTTTTTTAATTTTTACTATTTTTTAACGCCTTGGTTTTAGGTCCGAAACTGGATTTTCTTGCGCAGTACAGATATTTTTTTATATATTTCAAAATATGATTCATACCGTCATTCTTGCACGCAATTTCGCAATTTATTAACACAATTGACTACAGTCAACAGAAATACTACATATATTAGAGCCCGTTGATCAATAAAAGTTGGGGGTTTTTTAAAATAAAAAATAAAAAAAAATCCTGAGCGGGGCCTTCTTTGTGGGCGGGCGGGGACGCTAACCAACTATTTTTTTTTTATGTGGCCTTAGTAGAGCGTGTGATTGTTGATGAAAACGTTTGCATTCTTCAATAATCTTAAACATACACATAGGATAAGAGTTGATGAGAGTGGACAGTTATGTATTGCTACAGGGGACATTTCAAGCTCTATATTAACAAAATAAAGGCGTGATGAGTGTTCCAACTATGTTTTAACTTAAATATAGAATACATGATAGAGTTGGGAAAGCATTAAGAACAGCTAATCAAAGGTCGCGTGACTGTCAACTCTCATCCTCCGTATTGATCCATGCATACTTTAATGAGAAAAATGAACTTATAGTTTTTGTGAATCAGCAGGATTTTCTATCAGATATACAAGCTCGTTCACCGTTATAATTTCCTTTTGTCTTTTCATGAATTATTGATGAAATTACCAATTAATATAATTGCAATGCTCGACGAACACTGAACAAATTAGTTATGATGTTATGTTTGTATATTTACAAGAGAAAGTTATTAAATTCACTTGCCGCGCTTTTGTATATAATTGCAATGCTTGATTCGTTAGATGCATTTGAACCGTGGCTTCACTTGTAAGCAAGACCTGCGCCATTTTAAGAAATGCATCGAATTTCTGGACTGATATGTTTCTGCTATTTTCTGGTGTGGTTCCAAGCTTTCACCTCTTCGGAACAAAGCTCAAACGTTACAGGGAACAGAACGACGAATCCAAGAGCACTAAAGCCCGACTCAACTGTCAAAGGCAAACGCCCACCAGGTAAATTTGATGTGACCAATTCCAAATTCCGACTATCGATAAAATGCCCTGCCAAAAAGAGTTGCAAGGGCCGTTGCACCCTTAACCGTGAATTCCACAAACCAAAAGAGAACTTAGAAAAGTGTTTCTGTGACCCATGGTGCGACTCCGTATTTCATGACTGTTGCTCAGATTACGACGAAGAATGCAATGCTAGTTTCATGAAAGAAAACTCTCCTAAAAACGAACTGGACGACTTATGGATGTGCACTAAAATTGACAAATATAAGCTTCCCATCTGGACAATTGGAAAATGCAAGCCTACTTGGAAAAATAAAGAGATAGCCAAGAAATGTACGACTCCAAATGATTCCGAAATTTCCACCCTAATTCCAGTGATTGATGAGAACAATGTGACATTTCAGAATAGGCATTGCGCCATTTGTAACGAAGTTACTATATTCGAGCCGTGGAACTTTACCGTCAAATGTAGTGCCGAGCCATCGAGTCGTTACACCGAGGCAGAATCCTGGCAGTTCACCGACTACTTTTGCCAAAAAGAATTTCTGAAACGTGAATTCTCCACTCGCGGAAGACGTTACTGCTACAATGTGATTAAGACATGCAAAAACAAATCACCTGATAGATACAAGAAATACTGCGCAGAACGCCCGGCAGGATTAGTTACTGATCAGTACGGCTATGAAAACTACAAAAATTTTGATTGCCTTTTATGCAACTTTGGAGACAGGGCTAATCCAACATGCGGACCATCATTGCTTGGCAGTATGGGAAAAGATCCCATATTCATCCCTAGACCATACAGCGCAATTTTTTCGATCTCAACAAAGAACAGTTTCACTTCTCATTCGCGCTGTCCAACCGCTCAAATATACAACGCCCGTTTGGGACGATGTAACGAGCTTTTTGAAGGAAACATTATGCAAAACTCGCAACAGCTGTTACAAAAATTTGCGGTTGTGTTAAAGTACGACGCGAATAAAAGCGGAATGTGCACATCGGCGAGAGATATGGAAATACGGTTTGGTTACGTCTTTGAACGGCTATTAAAAGTTAGTCTTATCGACTTAAACATGGAGTTTGGTGATTTGCGAATACATAAACAGAATGATTCTGGCTTGTTAGTGACGTTTCAGCTTCTGGGCTTAAAACAAGATTTAGGAAACAGCGAAGACGTCCCGTTTGAATATTCAAAGATCGAGAAGCTTATTTTCCATGCTAGTTTCACTAATGACACGAGTGGCGGAATCTGTCGGTACTTCTTAACCAAACGCGTTGCAAGAGAAATGACTTGTGTTCAAAACGTCACTTTCATCGCAGCGAACATCTCCACAGAGTTCCCAAACGGAACTTTACGAGTATCTCTCAACCAAACAACTCAAACCTACTACAATAAAGGCGAGTTCTTGCAATACAATGAAACGTTCTTGGCCATTTGTAAAGACGTCAAACCATCGAACTGTTCGTATTATGACGTAGTTCAGAACTCAAGTGATTTCATCCTGTTTCCCAATAGGTCAATCTACAGTCACGTGGCAAACTCGGTTTTTGACTATGGGGAATACTCCATAATCGAAACCAAGATTTGGCTGTGCTTGAAGAATGATCACGTTTGGAGAGCAAATAGAATTCAAGTCCTTTCCACATCAATTCACACGACCATACTATCTTATGTGACTTTAGTCAGTCTGACTATATCTGTCCTAAGCCTTTGTACTGTTATGATAGTTTATTCATTGAATAAATCGTTGAGGAATCTGCCAGGTAAAAACCTGATGCTTTTATGTGGAACTCTGGCACTCGCTCAGACACTCTGGCTTATAGAAAGGAACATGAGTACGTTGTCTGCTTTGTGTACTGCCGCTACAATCGCCAGCCATTTTGCATTCCTTAGTTCGTTCTGTACATCGGGTTCAATTGCTCTTCACTCGTATTTAACATTCCGTCGTGTAGCAAATGGGAAACTTTACGACGCGAGTAATACACGCGAGTTTCTGTGGTATTGCGCGTACGGTACAGGTCTTCCAGCTTTGTGGGTTGGTATATGCTGGACCTTAGATACATATCAAGTAATTTCACTAAGGAATGAAACATCAGACACGTGCTGGCTTGGAAATTCCGAGGGTTTAAAAATAGCATTTCTGTACCCGGCTGCATTACAGCTTTTCGTGAACGTAACTCTACTTATGGAAACGCTGAGGCATATTCAGAAATGTAGCAAAGCCAGTCAACAATTACAGAAGAAAAATGGAGCTACGAAACAACGCCATGTGGGGATCTATTTACGAATGTCGACGCTCATGGGTTTGTCTTGGTTGTTTGGCGCTTTTGTAGCAATATTTCCAAGGGTGGTAGCTTTCGAGTATTTGTTCGTGTTTGGAAATGGCTTCCAAGGACTTTACATTGCCCTCGCTTTCTTGTTGACGAAAAATGTGAAGAAAATAATGACTAAAAGGCTCACGCACAGCACTGCAAGAAGTCATGCTTCGCCAAACAGTGAAAAAACTAAATGGTAATAATTCTATATAAACTTGTATGTGACTACAGAGTGAGTGACGGTCTAAATTTACTTTAACTCGCTAACTTAATCTATTGCAAATTTGCATCTCAAGGAATCATAGTACGAAAGGTAGATATAACAAAGTGGAAGCATGCATCCACGATGATAAAGACATTACTCACATTAGTATAATCACATTAGCATTTAGTTGCCATATTATGAACTATGTTTAAATGTTGTAAATGAAGAATACAATGTATGAAACACTTACAGCTGAAGATGAGACTGTTCCTTTAATAAATCTCGACCATAAAGTTGAGAATTGAATGTCTTCCGATGGGAATGGGCTGAAAATAGATTGAGAGTTTGAATAAACTAAACTTAGCTCTATCCGTTCTAAACTGGTCTCCCAAGAGATCAAGTAAGAGTTATCCCTTGTTACTACAGGAGGAAACCTAAACTAAACTAACTTCATTTATACTGAATCGACAGCTTTACTGATTCTAAATTGTTCTCCTTAAAGGTCCAGTGAGGATTATCCCTTATTGTTCCAGTGTTAAGTGTTACTACAGGAGAAAACCTAAACTAAACTAACTTGATAGGGCTATCTGTTTTAACTGTTGTTCTCCCTAGAGAACAGTTAAAACAGTAAGGATCATCCTTAGAAATGAAATCATGCAGTAACGATCATCTCTTATCTATCCAGTGTTGCTACAGGAGGAAACCTCAACTAAACCACAGTACTAAACTAATTTTATTTGTACTGGATAGTTCTATCAGTTATAAACTGTTCTCCCTAGAAGAACAGTAAGGATCATCTCTTATTGATCCAGTGTTACTACAGGAGGAAACCTAAACTAAACTAAACTAACTTTATTTAGACTGGATAGCTCTATCAGTTCTACACTGTTCTTCCTAGAGGTGCAAGTAAGGATCATCTCTTATTGATCCAGTGTTACTACAGGCCAGGTAATCTCGGAACAGCCCTGGCACTAGTTGTAAAATACAAATCCATGTCTGGTTTAAAATTACTCAATATCTCATCAACGGTATTAGATTTGTATTTCAAATTTGTCCCAGACATTCATTTCCCTGTGCAAAACACAGACACGAAATTTCAAACAGTTTCACAAAAAAAATCAGGACGTGACAAGTGTTTAAAGGTACGAAACTGGATTTCCATTCTGTTGCTAATCCCAGTCCTTTTGCTCACCTAAATAAAGTAAACTTTCGTAGGAATCGAAAGTTTAGGAGAAAAGTTTAGGAGCTTTATTTAGGAGAAAACCTAAATAAAGTAAACTTTCGTAGGAATCGAGCATTGCTCACAAAGGCAAATTGTACACGTATACCTCTCATTATCAATTCGTTTTATCGCAGGTACAACTTTATCTGGCCCATTCATAGATTCATCTGCGAGAATCATTAAATTTACATCCGAAAACTCCCAACAACAAAGTCGAGTCCGTTTGTCTGCTTCGTACAATTTCTAAAAGCAAAAATGAAAAACCTGAGATTGCTTTCAGATTGTTTTTCTGTAATTTTAGACAGGAGATTGAATGCCAAACACGAGAATACGAAATTAGTGTAGTAATACAGTAGTGATGACGAAAGGCCTTCTCTCAAACCATCAGAATCCTAGAGTTGTTTTTAAAGTTTAAACTTTGAATTGCTCACCACAGATCGTTCGATGTAGATTTTTGATTTCTTTTCTCTCAAACTTTCGTAGAGATTATCGACTTTCTTGTCTAAAAGCAACGTTGAAATTATGAGCGGTTTTATACTGGATAGCTCTATCAGTTTTAAGTCCAATAAGGAACATCTCTCATCGAACCAGTGTTGCTACAACAGGCCAAACTAGGGTACGCAAATAGTACTTGTCATGATGCTTGTGATGTTACTCTGAGTGTATATCTACACCGGGCAAGCTTGAAAAATATGCCTGACCACGGTGGGAATCGAACCTACGACCTTTGGAATACTAGCCCAATGCTCTGCCAACTGAGCTACGCGGTCAGGTCGGTTCGAGTATGTGATATTTCGGAACAGAATCTAGTTCCTTCGATATCAATGTAATCTAATAATCATGACCGACCAGACCGCGTAGCTCAGTTGGCAGAGCATTGGGCTAGCATTCCAAAGGTCGTAGGTTCGATTCCCACCGTGGTCAGGCATATTTTTCAAGCTTGCCCGGTGTGGATATACACTCAGAGTAACATCACAAGCATCATATTCACCTGAGTATATTACACCAACACAGAAACAATCAGTACTTGTCATGTTTGGTAGGTTGGTTGATTTTGTGACAAACCAAACTAACCTGACAACATGTTTCCAGGATTTTTTTTCTTCTCGCTGATTCTTTCATCCAACAATATTTCTCTCGCAGTCCACTCTAAAGCTTCGTCACACAACAGCTGAAGTTTGTACAAGAAATGCATGTAAACGGTTATCCAATCTTGCATTTAAAGGTCCAACTTTATTTTATTACCATACATTAATAGCGATGCTAGCCAGAGCAACAGATCATGTTATGCAAATTTTCAATATTTGCATTATTCATTTAGATGCAGTATTCTTACCATAGCATGACCAGTTGCCATGACTAGCTTCACCACTGTACCATACCTCGTAGTTTTTACCAAGTTTCACTTCAAAAGGATCATCTTCAATTTCGAAAGACAATTTCTAAAAAAATATTAATAAATCACCGAATTACAAAGACAAGGAAATGTGAGGCGAACTTTTTCATTAAAACCTACAAGGTTGATTGTTTCAGAGTAGACAACCGACATGAATCGTCATACGATGCTGGTTTCCTTTCTGTTTTGTTCATGAATTATAAATGAGTTTGAGAAACGTGTACATAACATGGCGGGCATTCGACCTACCCTCAAATTCAGCCATAAGTCGGCATAAAGAGGATCTTTCATACCAATACTTGGTTTTCTGTACAATTGTTTCAACATTTTATTAACAATAAGAAGTTTGTCCAAAGATTTGCCAAAATCAAAACGATATGGAAACAGTATGTAGATTTCAGCGTCAAGTAACCTAAAATAAGTTATAATTGTAATTTGTGAAGACACATGGACTAACCCACTGTGGCAAACAACAACAACAACGACAACGACAGCGGCAACAACAACAACAACAACAGCAACAACAACAGCAACAACAACAACAACAACAACAACAACAACAACAGCAACAGCAACAGCAACAGCAACAACAACAGCAACAGCAACAACAACAACAGCAACAGCAACAGCAACAACAACAGCAACAACATCAGCAACAGCAGCAACAACAGCAACAACAACAACAACAACAACAACAACAACAACAACAACAGCAACAGCAACAGCAGCAAACAACAGCAACAACAACAGCAACAACAGCAACAACATCAACAACAACAGCAACAACAGCAACAACAACAACATACCACATTTTGTTTGTATTGGACTCAAAACCTTCCATCGTATTCCTCACAGAAGTAGCATCAGAATTGTTTGCCGTTTTCTTTAGGGAAAATGCCTAAAAATGGGGACGCAACGGTTCAATCTTCACCATGGTAGTGTATATTCTTCAAGATAAGCAACATCTAAAGTTTAAATATACCTTAAATTGAAAAATTGTCTTTTCGTCAAACAAAATATCGACATTGGGTGATTCTGCAGCTATCCATCCTTCATCCAGTTTTATCACTCCAGAAAACTGCACGCCAAAACTACACAAGTTGAAAATACTAAATTGGTATTTGAAGAAAACCTACAAAGCAGCAGTTACCTCATTTGTCCGCTTCTATCAACTGTTAGCGAGGTTGGCCCGGGTTTGCAAGGTTGGCCCCTATTGAGCTGGGGAGAGTAAGCAATGTCTGACATAAAATCGTTACCTGTTTACAGAAGATGTCTTCATTTCAATGGCAACATCTTCCGTTGTGATTTCAAGTTGAACATTTGACATGAAATCATCCGTGACTTCTGAATCTTTTGTGGAATCAGCAAGAATGGCTAGGGATAATTAAACAAGATTAATTTATTATATTTATATAAATTATAAATGAAGATTAATTCCTAGATTAATCGTTTTACGGGATACCAAAACAACCCCTACACATAACAAAACCTCGCCGACAAGGTTAGTTAAAGGATAAACAGACTACCTTTTAATTCCTTGCTATCATCAATGATCCTTGATATCCTATCATGTACAGCCATGTGTGAAGCTATGTCCCAATCAACCTTGATATTAGGAAGTGACAACGTCGTCCCCTGTTGGTCGAAGAAACGTATTTATCAGAGAATTGTTTGTGAAACCACCATGTTTATTTATTGTGCAAACCTCTGGTCCATAAGGCCTCGGTCAAACGAGGATGAAAGTTGATGAGAGTTGTAGTTCTCATCAACTTTGAGCTGGTCAAATTTTGATGAGAGTTGATAGTCACGCATTGGCACAGGGGACATTTCAAGCTTTAGATTAACGAAATAAAGGTTTGATGAATGTTCCAACTATGTTTCAACTTCAATAAAATACATGATAGTGTTGGGAAAGCATTAAGAACAGCTGACCAAGATCGCGTGACAACTCTCATGCACTTTCATCCTCACACTCTCATCCTCGTGCAAACACACTTTGTAAAACTTACCTTCGAACTAAGACGTGTTACAGCTGAGGTGACTGTCAATAAACTATGATGCAGGTCAGACGACGTAGCGCAACCGTACGCTTCCTAAATGAAACAACGTTTAAAAACTACAGTAAATACAGCACCGTCTAAAGTCTGGTTTACACTATCAAAGTTTCTGTGATCACAGTAGAATTTTGCATGGGTAAATTCTATGTTTTGAAGGATTTGTAAGAAATGTTTGAGGGAAATGAGTTAGTGCTTAACAATGACTCATTTCCCTCAAACATTTCTTACAAATCCTTCAAAACTTAGAATTTACGCATGCAAAATTCCTACTGTGATCGCAGAAACTTTGATAGTTTAAACCAAGCTTAACCAACACTGCTCGGTAACAGAGAAAAAACGTTGTTTTTATACCTTCTTAACTTCTGTAAGTCTTGCAACTTTACAACCATGTGCTCCTATTTGCACATCATCTTCCCCTTTGGTCACAGATACCACGTCCAGTCGAGCAAGAACTGAATCCACACCATCTACACAACGTCATATAAAATATATAAATTTCGTTTTGTGCCTCCAATACATTCTTGTACAACGTGTTGTTTACCTTGGCATTTTCCAACACAAAATATATTGATATCATGAACTGTTACGTCGCATTCGAGAGACACTACAAACAAACAAATATACCATGGAAAATAGTATGGACAACAGTCTAGAACTGATAGAGCCATCCAGTATAAATAAAGTTAGTTTAGTTTAGATTTCCTCCTGTAGTAACACTGGATCAATAAAGGATGATCCTTACTGGACATCTAGAGAGAACAGTCTAGAACTGATAGAGCTATCCAGTATAAATAAAGTTAGTTTAGTTTAGGTTTCCTCCTATAGTAACACTGGATCAATAAGAGATGATCCTTACTGGACCTCTAGGAAAGAACAGTTTAGAACTGATAGAGCTATCCAGTATAAATAAAGTTAGTCTAGTTTATTATGTTATACGTACTAATATTGTTGGAACTTTGTTCTATTTCACTCCCAGATTTTCGTGTCTGCAAACGTTTATACATCTCTCCCGTCTGCAATAAAGCTGCCAGACAATTCTTCGTGTGCTGGGAATATTCGAATACCAACGACGAAGCGTCACATTTCATGACTACCTTTGAGGCAGTCGAATCCTCTAGCTCAATGTCACACTGGAGAGATTAAAATTAAGATTGGAATAAAGATTGAGTTTAGGAGGTGTGCTCGTTGGTTTAGTTTAGGTTTCCTCCTGTAGTAACACTGGATCAATAAGAGATGACTCTTACTGGACCTCTAGGGAGAACAGTTTAGAACTGATAGAGCTATCCAGTATAAATAAAGTCATTTAGTTTAGGTTTCCTCCTGTAGTAACACTGGATCAATAAGAGCTGACTCTTACTTTAACTCTATAGGAAGAACAGTTTAGAACTGTTAAGATCTATGGAGTATAAATAACGTGAACGTCAAAAACCTTGATGCTTGAACTGCCAAGTTCTAAAACTCGACCCCACAAGTGTTTCCTACTACTTGGTAAGACCGTGGGATTATCCTCAAGCCATATACCAACTGTTTCAGCGTCTGTGACATTGAAATAAACATAGGCATTTTCCAGCCTTGCTGAGCAACTAAAAAAACAAAACTTTACTTCAACTATTGAATAGACAGGTTTCACTATAATACACATACTACTAAACGGCGGTCAAACTCAGCAGTGAGAAGCTCTTTCCATTATATGTATAGTATTCTATTTGGAGGCAAATGAATAGAATTGAGGAATGTGTAGTTTAACGTGCTTGGGCACTATTTGTGGCTATAAAGTGCGGCTGTTTTCAGCAAGTTGTCATCCTTCATTGCTACACAGTGCCATCCCAAAGTGACGGAGAAGGTCGTTTGGTGCAAGAATGGTTAATTCATCGTTAAGGAATACCGAATGGTTTTCCGTGCAGGATTGCGTGATCCATGCACGAGGGATGTCGCGAGACTTTCGGAAAGCGTAAAAATACTCGAGCCGCAGGCGAGTGTATTTTTACGCTTTCCGAAAGTCGAGCAACATCCCAAGTGCATGGATCACGCTATCCTGCTTGGAAAACCATTTGGTAATTGTTTTCTAAAATAACTACAGTGAAACAATGACATTTTGAGAATCCCGCGAAGGCATTTTAATTCCTCGTGCAGGATAGCCTGATCCTGCACGGCTATTGACCAATCAAATTGCGTGTTTCACTGTAGTTATTATATAATATTCTATTCCTGTACTTACGTTACTGTCTCTGTAGTCTGCAGCAGATCTGAAATTTAAGTGTATTTGAAAATTAAAAATGACCAAAATAATATACTCCATAACATTCAGATTATTTTTACCTTGTGCTGGCAATTGAATATTCGTGACGAGAGAAGCCAAAACGGCTTTGCAAACAGGTTTATCTTGCCCGTTTGATAAATTCTCAGTCAGGCACACAGTCATATCATCTACTTCCAAATTATTCTCAAAACTGTATTCCTTTGTTAGCTTTGCAAGTGTGGTTAAGAAACTACATAAACAGAAAAAAATGTTTCTTTGAACAATTCAACGCCGTCAAGACGCCCATCCAAAAAGCGTTATTGGTCTTAATATTTGGTACAAATGGACCGGAATTGAATTTTTCCTGCTCAAATTAGTCTACACTCAAACTTTCACGTGGTCACGAAGTTCTGCCATTTGAAAAGGGAGTTGTGGCATTTTGAAAAGGGTGTTTTGCTATTTGAAAAGAGAGTTCTGCCATTTCAAAAGAGAGTTCTGCTATTTCAAAAGGGAGTTTTGCTATTTGAAAAGAAAGTTTTGCTATTTGAAAAGAGAGTTCTGCTATTTCAAAAGAGAGTTCTGCTATTTGAAAAGGGAGTTTTGCTATTTGAAAAGAAAGTTTTGCTATTTGAAAAGGGAGTTTTGCTATTTGAAAAGGGAGTTTTGCCATCTGAAAAGGGAGTTTTGCCATCTGAAAAGGGAGTTTTGCCATCTGAAAAGGGAGTTTTGCTATTTGAAAAGGATGTTTTGCTATTTCAAAAGGATGTTTTGCTATTTGAAAAGGATGTTTTGCTATTTGAAAAGGATGTTTTGCTATTTGAAAAGGGTGTTTTGCTATTTGAAAAGGGGTTTTGCTATTTGATAACAGTGTTTTGCTATTTGAAAAGGGTGTTTTGCTATTTAAAAAGGGTGTTTTGCTATTTAAAAAGGGTGTTTTGCTATTTGAAAAGGGAGTTTGCTATTTGAAAAGGGAGTTTTGCTATTTGAAAAGGGTGTTTCGCTATTTGAAAAGGGTGTTTTGCTATTTGAAAAGGGAGTTCTGTCATTTCAAAAGGGAGTTTTGCTATTTGAAACGAAAGTTTTGCTATTTGAAAAGGGAGTTTGGCTATTTGAAAAAGGAGTTTTGCTATTTGAAAAGGGAGTTTTGCTATTTGGAAAGGGAGTTTTGCCATTTGAAAAGGGAGTTTTGCTATTTGAAAAGGGAGTTCTGGCATTTGAAAACGGAGTTTTGCCATTTGAAAAGTGTGTTTTGTTATTTGAAACGGGAGTTCTGGCATTTGAAAAGGGAGTTTTTGCGTACTGTAGATCGAGTACCACAGAGTCACACACACAAGACATACCTTTGTTTTTCGCCACTCCCTATCTCTCGTTTCTCCAGGGGCAAGAGTGCCAGCCAATGTGAAATTTCGTCATGGACATAGTTACATTGACAGGATGCGAGAGAGATATTGGACAATAAACTGGGCAAATCCGACTCAGATTTCTGCGTCTAGAGAACGGCATAGTCCGTTTACAAACTGGCAATAATTATTTTTAAGCATGCAATGTGTAACGCGTGAGGACAGCACCTTGCTTTTCACAGCTAAGTTAAACTTAAACTCCGGTTTCCATTTGGTCTCGGTGGTCGTGAACAAGCCATACTCATGCACCGATGTGAAACTCTCTTAAATTCTTAAAATACTAATTCATTTGTGAATTTCTCTCAAATTCAAAAATAAGTATTTTAAGAGTTGACAAAATTCTATGCTATTGTGATTTCCTCTGCTTAGCGCTCATTAATTATTTATGCGTTCGAGTTATCCTACAATCTGTTATAATTTACCTTAATATCTAACATGAACTTGCTGAATGACATAAGATCTTTGGAACTTCTGGCTTTAACTTTTAAACCTTAATAAACCAAACCCCATTCGTCAAGAGAGTTAAAACTGTTTTCCACTACAATACTTTCAACCTGTCATGTACTGTAACTATGTACGTATATAGGCTCTCTGGTAGGAATCCAATCTGGGAATCCACAAATCCTTTCAACAATAGACAACTTGCAGGTTAGACTAGTTTTTTATCTAGGCAAAAAAAGTAAATTCCTGTAAAGAACTTATTAAAATTAGTAAAATTGCAAAATTTGGTTACGAAATGCGCACGACCATATTTTCCAAGCTTTAAATAATTTCGCAACCAAATCTTGCAATTTTACTAATTCCATTATGTTGTTTTTGGCAGTGGTGTTTGATTCCCTTCTCTTTACTTAGATTAAAATTTAGAAGTCTAACATGCAAGTTGTCCATTCGACAACCGTCTATATTGACTTAAGCTGAATACCATTAATTAGTAGCAGCATTGTTTTAATCATCCACCAGGATTTGTCCTGCAATGATGCTGTAAAACTTAGATTGTTCGTATGAATTGACAGTTCCCTGAAAAGTACACAAGAAAACTTTGGCAACCTAAACGAACTTGCGTTTCAGTAAGTGAGATGACGTAAGGCAAGCTGGTCTGTAACTTCTACAGACAGTTCATAGTTGATCAAAGTCCTCAATGCAGTAAGCACACCATAAGTTTCCATACCTTTGTTCTTCATCACAAACAAAAAGATCCACTTCAGTAAATATCAGATCAAAATTCTGCAATACCAAACATTGTTTATGCTTGAGAAACATAGTTTGCATTAAAAACCACCGATATTTTCTATTGTACACATTTAGCTGGTATACTATGAAGAGCAGCATATTTGCAGCACACGACTGCAGGTGAATCTGATACCTTTGGCAAATACTTGGATAATTTCGTTGATTTGCTTTCTTCTCCTGTCGCTGTGATAAGAAACGAAATTGAACATAATGAATAATAATTGTAAACGTTTATTTACAAAAAGAACACAACCACTATTTATTAAATTATCTGCATCTTCACTATTATGTCTTAGGGCTGTTTCCCAGTTACATGTTTTTCATATATATACGTAATATGCACAGAAAAGCTTAAATCTATTTCGACTAAATGAATAAAAGGGAATCATTTAGTTATGTGTGTGATTCAAAGTGCATGAGTTGAGGAAATTAATACTTATATAAAATTTAGAAAGATTTAAAATTTTCCAGTAGAAACATAAGGCATTATTTTACCAGTTAAAGAATGGAGTTTCTTGCTCGTATCATGGAGTTGCGGTAGGTTTTTTATTAAATCTGAAAAAAATGGAAATTTATACGCTTAAGCAACGAAATGTTTAAAATCTCAGATGAACTTCGCATTTTAAGCTTGTACATATTTCTATGTGCAGATTTTTATACTATGAATATTTATACTTACTGTCTCCAAGAGAAATTCGAATAGGGTTCACTTTTATGCTCAGATCTTCCTAATATTGTGAGAAAAAGGAAAACACAATGAGTAATGTCAACACGGTCATCAGAACAAGCGCCTATCACCTCTAAGATTGGGGGTTCATGAAAATGAATTAGGTAATAAACATTGGAGAAGCTTTTAGCAGGGCAGTGAAGGATTAATGGGCTTGTGAATTAGTTATAATTAACTTAGGGTTAGGTCTAATAGTTCCAATTTTGCAATTTCCACAAAAAAGGGAAATAAGTGAACTACAGCGAATAGTAAGAATCTGTTTTTACCAAAATTTGTTCTGACATCACTGGATTCAAAGAACCTTCAAGTAAAATGTTGAGAGAAACTTCCGCAAGGGTGACATCTTGAAAATAGTCAGTCTCAATCTAAACCACAATTGAAAAGCAATCATTGTATATTTTTTGTCTGTTTTTGTTCATTTTTATCCACATTCATCCCACATGCGTACCTCCTTTGCTTGATGTAAACTTGAAACACATTTTGTTGCTCTCGCAGAGAAGTCTAAAAACCTAGAACCAAGGAAAAAATACTCGCACATGAAAACAAGGCCATTGGAAACAAAAACAGTAAAATCTCGAACGAGGACCTAGGCAGGATTATCAATCTGCCCATCCAAAAGTGCTATGTTTCCCTGATGTGTACATCACGTACAATACCTTTCATTTGGCTGACATACGATATTAATGCCTTTCACAACTTGTACAATAATATTAAATTTTGATCTTGGTTGATTCGTGAGAATGACATCCAGTGAGTGCAGATAAATACCCATATACTGCAAAATACAAATATTTCCTTCAATACTCATATTAATCATTCTCATTTGAAATGCCAACACATTATAATTAAACAAATGCTACCTTTGAAATGAATTTCACAATACCAGCTAGTCTTTGATTTCGACTCACATCTGAAAAAAATAAAGACAAAAACTGGTCCTGAAAAAAGTGTGTATGTGTGTGTGGGGGGGGGGGAGGGTGGATGCCCCACCCTCCCTGTGGCTATGCCCCTGTTTAAAATATACTAACTTTGTTATGAAATTTATTGAAAATAAGTGGGTAAACAATCGCTCAGTATACCACTGGTAGTGTACGCACCATTTCCACCATTTGGGTTGGGTTTCTTCTCCTCATTGACGTCTTTAAAGTCCTTCACACGAGCTCCATTCTTGGCGGCAGTGACGGTGATGTGTCCAAAACATAACATAAAAAAGCGTCTGCAATGTAGGAACACTTTGAAATGTTTCACTAGATATATGGGCAAGTGCTATAGTTTGCTAGACAAATTGCATCAATACTGTTTTCTTAATACCTTGATCCTGGAAACCCCCATTTTGTTTGCAGCACAATGTTTTCAATTTCCTAGACAATATAATCATGCGCATACGGTAAACTTCCGAATATAAGTCCATGCACCCAAATATAATTAACCCCCCCGTATAAGCTCATGGGCTTATTACAACAGCTCCAAGTTGTTTCATTATGTGTTATATATTATGTATGTTTATATTTCTTTGCATTCGCCCAGATTGGAAAGTTTGGAAATTGTGCAACCGAGATTTCAAAAATTTAATATATAAAAAAGAATCAAACTTTCCATATACTGGGCGTTCGCAATATAGTTTGCAGGTACAATAAATATTATTACTGACACCAAATGTCGTCCATATATAAGCCCCCATGTATGAGCCCAAAATATTGCTACATAATTGTTCTGCCACCTTTTCACTTACAATTCTTGTTCCTGCTGTGGTAATCTTAATGCTGCCTAGAGCCAGGAACTGAGCTCTTTCCACTTGTATTTCAACCTTAAATAATCTTCTTGCAAACCATTCCAGAAATCTTGCTACAATTCTACAACAACACATATTAACTAAAGCATTAATTTCTCATGAATCAATCAATATAATATATACCCAGATAGACTTCACCAAGCGCTATTGTGCAATAGAATGCAGTCAGAAAACTGCACATGGATAGGAATTCAACAACCTGCAAATATAAGTACTCCGAAGTTTATTTGTATTTTTCATGTAGCTCAATCCTTATCCATCCACAATTTTCTGGTGTTTTTGTCGTTGCCAAGGCTGGCATAAACCGTTCGAGTTTATATTATGGTCAACCTGCAGTTTCCAGAGTGAGAAATTATGTTAAACCTTTTATTTTAGATGTTAAATTTAATCGAACGTCTTTCTGGATGTATTTTTACACCATTAAAACATGCCAAAAAGCGTAATGTAAGATACAACTCTTCTCCTAAATACACCTTTCGTTAGTATTAAAACACAACTATCCCCAAACATAATTTTCACCTGACTTCACAAATTAAAAAATTTCATTTGTCAAACTAGTAGTTTCTACCCAAAAGTGAACAGCCTACCTTCCACAAATGAGATAAAGTACTGAAGCCAAGATGGCGAAAATAGCAAAATAAAGAGCATACAATGTATACATTGCCATAAAGAAAGTAAAAACTATTGCAATGATAGAAATAAAATCATATTTGCACAACTAAAAATTGAGCAATTCTGTCGATTTTGCATTTTGAGAAGAGAACATTCTTGAGCCCGCGCTTTCAAAACAAATGACCGCTGATGCACGTGACGACGCTAGTGACGTCACGGTTTAAAACCCCCCGACCACTGCACGTACCTATTTTTACATTTTCTGGGTTTTTATCAGACTTTAGTTAGGTGGTCATTAGTCAGTCCGTTAGTTACAGCAGTTGAACAATTAGTTGAGCAGTCCGTTAATTAATTAGTTAGATAATTAATTGGGTAAGGGACTGGTCATAAAGTAACTGCTAGGGTGGGCTGGAGGTAAATCACAAATTTTGCCAATAAGTTTGGTGACCCATCTTAGGATGTAGATAAAAATTTCAAAGCCCATCTAATCTTACAAATATTTTTCATGACCCACCAAATCTAAATTGGGAAAATACACTTTATAATAAAAAAACGTGCAGGTATGAACATTGTAAATATATACACGGCAATGTATTAACATACATAATTCCATCATGCTTGACCAACACATTCATCACCAATTACGATACTGAGCTGCTCTCCAGTTGGTTGTATTTGCTGTGATTCGACCACTTCTTGTTGTTGTATAAACAAAGTACTGGCTTCAATAGCATCATTTGCATTTGATAATTTGTATAGTTTTGTTTACTTTTATTATTAATATCTTTATGTAATATATAATTAACGTGGGTTTTTGTTTGGTGGCCCAACCGTGGACATACAAAAAATTGGCGACCCATCGAAACTGGCCAAAGATTTTCCATGGCCCATGGCCATCCCAAATCACTCCAGCCCACCCTAGCAGTTACTTTATGACCGGTCCCTAAATATATCACTATATCAGGATTTTGCAGAATATTTTGGGCATTTCACTTGATATAAAAATTGTTCAAGGGTTTGTAGTTGCGACAGATTTGATTCCTACCTATAGTTGTATTTTTCACAACCGCTCCGGGTTAGCTCTAATAAATGCATAAAATTCACACCCGAAATTTTCATCCACGAATCCTTCAACAGATATTATAATTAATTGGTCGATCCGTCAGTCAGAAACAGAAACAACAAAAGCATACAAATATTGAACTATGTAGTTACTGTATTCATTTTAAGCGCAAATAAATAGTCTCGTCAAACAGAAGGGCTTCCAATACAAACACCCTTTTATAAACATCCTTTAAACGATAAATACTCTATAACGTCTATAAACGCCAATCTATTTGACATATATAAGAAATAGCTGTGTTTCACCAGAGTAGGTGTTTCACTAAGCACCATCCTGCAGTAGATGGTGGTCAACCTGCCGTTAACAGAATGAGAAAAATAATTGTTTTTACTGCACAGTTAGGCCGGGGTCAAACGTCGAACTTTTCATGTGCCGAACCTAATATGCAAATGAAGTGAAACAAAGAACTTAGCTCATTAACATTAGGTTCGGCACATGAAAAGTTCGACGTTTGTCCCTGGCCTTAAGGCTAATTTCCACTCAGGAAAATTATCCCTGGATTGGAACGGACAAGAAAATAAAGTCATTAGTTCCAACCCAGAGCTGACAAGACAAAGAAAAATTTTCTTGTCCGTTCCAATCCACGGATAATTTTCCTGAGTGGAAATTACCATTTAGTTGGAATTGGTGGCCAATAAACACGGTCCAGTATCGACTATTTTTGGGGTACTGTCTTCCCTCGTCAAAGAATCTAGACAATTAAATTTCCTAAAAGTTGTAACTGTAAATTTACCATTGCACACATGCTTGGGAGAGGCAGTACCCCCAATGGCCGAGCGTGAGAAAAGCTAGCCTGCGTAGCAGCTGGTTTTCATCAGGCCCCCCCCCCCAAAAAAAAAACCCGGCTGCTGCACAGGCTAAAGAAAAGCTAATTCATTTGCTGCTATAGAAGTGTCAGCATTCCTGAGATCAACCACTATCGTCCCGCAACGCTTAGTGAAACCTACAATTAGCTAGGTACGTTAACTTTCGAGTCTTCCTGCCAATGGCCTCACGTCTGTGTCGTCAAGAACGTCGCCTTGCTTAATCATAAACAAGTAATTACACAGTACGAGAAAAGCTCTTTGACTCAGTCACGGGGCTATCCATGTCGGAAAACTCGCTTTCCGAAAAATTCCGAGCTTTGGCTCGCGGTAGATACATTTCGCGACATTCATCATCTTCGTGGGTATCACTCGAGGGACTCGCGCGAGGTGCGCGCGGGTTTCGTCGCTTCCTCGCGCGAGACAAAGTCTCAAGTCCCTCGCGCAGGTCGCGATTTTCTTTCGCTAGTTTTAACATTTCCTTCTCAAGTGCGGCTTTAGTTCGCGTCAGCTCGTCGCACTTTTGCCGCTCTTCTGTCGCCATATCCGTTGCTATAGAGATAGTGCGGTGTAGGTCGCATCTGATGGACTCGCTCTCGTGCAGTTTTTCTTCAAGGACATGCGTGTGATGACCCAGATCTGTTAACTCCCTTCCTAACTGCTCAACTTCCTGGACTGAATTTTGACGAGGACAAGTGTTTAGGTCTAGAAAGAACGAAAATAATATAGTACGATTACAATTAGCCATTCCGAAGTTGATGAGTAGACTGGGGACGAGTGTTAAAAAGTGCCCAAATTAAGAAATGAACCAAATCACTAAAAAGACCACGTCAAAATTAGTAAGTATACAAAGTTTGAAGACGTTTACATGAATACCCTTCGAGTAATAAGCTTTCGAAAATTGTGAAATTACTGATTAAAAGATTGTTTTTGGGACGCGCGTCCCCAAAACAAGAAATTACAATACATTTCATAGTAAATATCACGATTTTCGAAAGCTTATTATTCGAAGGATATTCATGTAAACGTCTTCAAACTTTGTATACTTACTAATTTTGAGGTGGTCTTTTTAGTCATTTGGTTCATTTCTTAATTTGGGCACTTTTTAACACTCGTCCCAGTCCTCTCATCAACTTCGGAATGGCACTTCGGAATGGCATAGAAATTAGCATTTCTATAGCGCAAATTTACATGTGGCTATGATCAAATGCGCTTTAGAATAGCAGATGCGAGAGAATGATTTTTGGTTGTTCGAAAGCCGATTAGCTTAACCCTAGGTTAAATTAAAATTCAAAGCAAATTTATAAATTTGGAAATATTTCTGTAGAAATTTTGACTGGATCAGTAAGAGTTCTCTGAAGTTTTGAAATAAACAGACGTGCAGAAATACATAAACTAAAACAGCAGGTTAAATTTTAACCCAGGGTTAATCTAGCATTGAACAGCCAGCCCTAGATGGAAAGCTAGATCATCACATAGCCCTTATTTTGGTCAAGTTGTATCTGCTTGTCTGTGTAACTACTCACCATGAACGGCGGCATCTTCTTTCTCTGGCTTATTGCCAGCAATCCCCTCCTCATCCAAGGCCGTCCTTAGCTTATCAAGATCTCGTTGCAAGTACCCCAACAATCCACTAATACCCTCTCTGCTCAAATTCACTTGTATCTCTTCGTCCCGAGAGGTCTTCTTCACGAGCGGACTGTGTAACCTCTTGAAGCCATCATTACCCTGTGATGCACCATCAGAGTACCCTGCACTGACCGCAGCATTTTTCATGGATGGACTGTGGACTACATCGACGACGTCACCACTGATGACGTCAACATTGGTGACGTCATCATTTGTGACGTTACTATCAGTGACGTCACTATTGTTGATGACGTCGCTGTCATTGACGTCATCACTCAAAGTAAAGTTAGGATCAGTTTGTAAGCGGACAATAGAAGACAGCAATGATTTCTTTTCCTCATGCAAACGGTAGATCTCCATCTCAAGTTCCGAGATTCGTTCTTCATGTCTCGTACAGCCGGCGTTCGTCTTGTTTTCTTCGGACGTTGAACTTCTCGACTTACTAGCTTCAACTTTTCCGTCGAGACGTTGTATTTCATCTTTGAGTTTCAAGATCTTGTCTTCTTGTTCATTGTTGTTTTCGTGTTTACCTTCCTCCTCGAGAACGTTACGGATGCGTTGTAACGTTTCGCACAAGCACACATTCTCTTGTTCCACCTCACGCAAATTTCTCTCCAGTACAGTCATGTTTTGTGAGAATGAGCTATCGTTTTCTGAGCAGTTTTCACGCGAGGTCCACTGGCTGGTTAGTGTTTGCATACTCAATAAGAGCACGCGTTTTTCTTCCATAAGTTGAGCGACTTTCTCCTCCAGGCATCGCACGGCCTCGCCACTAAGATTCTGAGAATTATCAGCATCATTACGAGAATTATTATGAGAGTTTACACTAGAAAGATCATTTTCAGATTCAGCTGTGGTACACTGATAACCTTGGATAATATTCTTAGAAAGACTATCAGCATTCCCTGAAATATCTTTTCCGTTTTTAGAATTGTCTAAATTCGAGGAAACGTCAGCAAAGTTCGTAGAAACATCGACTGTAGAATTCTCGTATTCGCTACTTCTTGAAGACGACCGCTGAACAGCTTGCAAGGCGGGCAGGTTTTGAAGTAACGTGTTGAGTTCCTCATGAAGACGCTGAACCTGTGGAGATTTTCAAATTATCGTTAAATTAAACAGGGTGGATAAAAAACCTGCAGAGTTAGAAAATGTTCGCTAAACTGCAAATTCCGCAAAACCTGTGAAAACTTTATGAAAGCATGGGTAGTTAGGGGACTGCTAGTATCTGTACCACTGAAATTATTCTGAACAGTGCGGAGGGCGGGGGGGGTGTTATTTTTATAAACCACTTTAAAAATGGCTTGCGCACAAAAATGCAATTTGAATTTATAGGGTGTCAACTATTATATTAGACAACTTGATGGACAGTAAGTCCAACGCGCGACCTCTAAAGCTTGGACTTTTTTTGCCAAAGTTGCTTTTCACGCATATGAGAGACAGTTCTCAGAGTAACAAAACTGTCCACTTTAAGTATTGTCCTTGTGTTTGGTGGCAAATATATGTAATGGAAACATATAGCATAACTTGCTTGCTAGTTGCTATAAATGTGAATACATTCATTACCTCTTCCTCAAGGGTGCGGTTTCGTTTCGTGAGTGCGACGACATCGGAACGCGACGTCTCAGAACGCTTCGACTTCGCGAGTTCATCTTTCAAGGCTGCCATCTTGGTTTCGTATTCATTCTGGAGTTGTGCCTTCATGACGTCACCGCGATACGAGAGAACGTATTTTAAATACTTCGCTTCTTCCTCCATGTCTTCGTGTTCGGCTCGGAGCTCGGAATTGGTCGCCTCGAGCTCGTGAATGCGTTGTTCACAGTCCTCCAGATTCTTGCACAGTTTCTGGATGCAGTCAAGTTTGCCCACTCCGTGATCCATAGAGAGAGTTCGCTCGAGCTTTCGGATCTTCTTCGTAACTCGCGACCGATTCCGATCACCACCTGGAGTATAATATATATTTGTGTTTTTTAGCAAGCGTTGCAAGACTGCAGATGGTGGCAAAGATGATGATGGAAGTAAATTACACTGCATCTCCTAAATGCACCAAATACAATACGTGCAGGTTGACCACCATCTACACACATAAAAATCTCACAACTTGTCAACGAGATGTGTTCGCAACAAGCTTGTAGCAAGCTTGTCAACAAGATGTGTTCGCAACAGGCTTGTAGCAAGCTTGTCAACGAGATGTGTTCGCAACAGGCTTGTAACAAGCTTGCCAACATCTTGTGTTCGCAACAGGTTTGTAGCAAGCTTGTCAACAAGATGTGTTCGCAACAGGCTTGTAACAAGCTTGTCAACAAGATGTGTTCGCAACAGGCTTGTAACAAGCTTGCCAACATCTTGTGTTCGCAACAGGCTTGTAGCAAACTTGTCAACAAGATGTGTTCGCAACAGGCTTGTAGCAAACTTGTCAACAAGATGTGTTCGCAACAGGCTTGTAACAAGCTTGTCAACAAGATGTGTTCGCAACAGGCTTGTAACAAGCTTGCCAACATCTTGTGTTCGCAACAGGCTTGTAGCAAACTTGTCAACAAGATGTGTTCGCAACAGGCTTGTAGCAAGCTTGTCAACAAGATGTGTTTGCAACAGGCTTGTAGCAAGCTTGTCAACAAGATGTGTTCGCAACAGGCTTGTAACAAACTTGTCAACACGATGTGTTCGCAACAGGCTTGTAGCAAACTTGTCAACAAGATGTGTTCGCAACAGGCTTGTAACAAACTTGTCAACAAGATGTGTTCGCAACAGGCTTGTAGCAAGCTTGTCAACAAGATATGTTCGCAACAGGCTTGTAACAAGCTTGTCAACAAGATGTGTTCGCAACAGGCTTGTAACAAGCTTGTCAACAAGATGTGTTCGCAACAGGCTTGTAACAAGCTTGTCAACAAGATGTGTTCACAACAGGCTTGTAGCAAGCTTGTCAACAAGATATGTTCGCAACAGGCTTGTAGCAAGCTTGTCAACAAGATATGTTCGCAACAGGCTTGTAACAAGCTTGTCAACAAGATGTGTTCACAACAGGCTTGTAGCAAGCTTGTCAACAAGATGTGCTCGCAACAGACTTGTAACAAGCTTGTCAACAAGATATGTTCGCAACAGGCTTGTAGCAAGCTTGTCAACAAGATTTGTTCGTAACAGGCTTGTAGCAAGCTAGTTAACAAGTTGTAACAACGCTGTTATTTTATCAAGTTGCTACAAGGTTGTCACTCACAACTTGTTGACAAATTGTTGAATTGCAGGACGATAACAAGTTGTTGGAACAACTTGAAACAAGTCTGTTGAGCTCAACAACCTTGTGGCAAGTTGTCAACAAGCTGGGAACAAGCAGTGCGAACACATCCTGTTGATAAGTTGTTGGAACAGCATTGCTACATGTCTGCTGCAGGTTTGTTACAACTTGTGCGTTTTTACGTGTGTACTGCATGATAATGCTTACCAAAACTAGAAAACCTTCCAACGAGTACACACGCAAAAATCTCACATCTTGTAACAGGTCCGGCGCACCCATGTATTATTCTCTATGTAACAAGCTTGGTGGCAGCATTATCAGACTTGTTACAAGGTTGTTCTAACAAGTCTGATACAGTCATGATATAACAAGAATGTTACAAGATTGACGACACAAGGTTGTAACAATATTGTTATATCATGACTGTATCGGACTTGTTGGAACAACCTTGCAACAAGTCTGATAATATCAACAAGCTTGTTACAAGCTGTTAAGAACTTGTAACAAGCTTGGTGCCATTATCAGACTTGTTACAAGGTTGTTCTAACAAGCCTGATACAGTCATGATATAACAAGAATGTTACAAGGTTGACGGTTGATCATGACTGTAACGGACTTGTTGGAACAACCTTGCAACAAGTCTGATATCAAACAAGCTTGTTACAAATTGTTAACAGCTTGTTCCAAACTTGTTGCAACAACTGGGAACAAGCAGTGCGAACACAACTTGTCGACAGCTTGTGAACAGATTTGTAACAACTTGTTTGCAGACCTGTAACAACTTGTGCGTTTTTACGTGTGTAGGTTTCACAAGAAAGCTGCCGATTGCGAGATCTAGCTGAAGACGTCGAAGTTCGTGCAACTAATTTCATATGAAAATCATTTTTACCTTCCGTTTCACTCTCAACTTTATCCTCCGTATCATTGCCAGACATATCTGCTTCCCAGTCTCCTAGAACGCCGCGGCCAGCTTGAAATTCTTGGATCATCGCGAAACGCGTTTCCAGTAAATCTTTCTTCCGGTTTTCTAAATCTCGAATCTGATTGGCTAACTCGTCTATACATTGTTCGTTGGATTTCAGTTTCTTTTTAAAGCCATCAAGGTTGCTCACATCTTCGGAATCAACCGTCGGGTCTTCGGACTCCAGGAAAACGTCCACGTTTAGGGTCACTTGTTCCGAGGGTGTTACTTCGTGTGGCCCATCCTCCGGGATTGCGTGGAGATTATTCCCCGGTACCTTTTTCCGCTGGGATTTGTTATCTTGCACTTGGTCAAGTAAATTCTTCAAATTTTCTGCGAAAAACGAGCTCACTTTATTCTGTTCGTTTTGTAACGCTTCTCGGTCGAGGCGAAGTTTTCGTACCGCTTCTTTCATAGAATTCAATTGCGCGATTAATTTCTCCGAATTTTTCTTGGAATTTCTACTAGAATTCTCAACTTTCCGTTTCCCAGTATGGTCCGGTTTTTCCTGATGCGATTCGTGACAAACCCGTTCGACCTCTTGCAGATGACTGACGGCAATTTTTCTACTGTGCTCAGCACTCTCGTATTCCGTGACGAGGTTGATATTTTGCGAGCGTAACTCTTTTAATTCGTGTTCACTTGTTAATAAAGTGAAACTCAAACGGTCGCGTTCTGACGCTAAGACCTCTTTCTCTCGTCGCAAGTAATCCACGGTGCCAGAGCAATCTTTCAGTTTTTCACGGAAAGATGAAACTTGTTTTTTATTCTTGGAATTTTCGTGTTCCAATAGCGCGAGCTTCTTCTCCAAATGAAGTACATGTTTTTCTCTGTTAGTGATATTTTCTTTCTGTTCTGTAATGGTTTTCTTCAAGGCAGGGACTTCATTTGTGTTTGTGTTTTCATCAATTCTGTTGTGGGTTTTTTCGTTTGAGGAGGTTTCAATCTTGTCGCTTGGTTTTGCATAGAATTTATATCCACCGAGTTCCTTCAGTACCAACGGTTTTTCTGCGATAAAAGGAATATTTCACTGATAGAGCTATACAGTATAAATAGAGTTAGTTTAGTTTAGGTTTCCTCTTGTAGTAACACTGGATCAATAAGAGATGATCCTTACTGGACCTCTAGGGAGAACAGTTTAGAACTGATAGAGCTATCCAGTATAAATAAAGTTAGTTTAGTTTAGGTTTCCTCCTGTAGTAACACTTGATCAATAAGAGATGATCCTTACTGGACCTCTAGGAAGAACAGTTTAGAACTGATAGAGCTATCCAGTATAAATAAAGTTAGTTTAGTTTAGGTTTCCTTCTGTAGTAACACTGGATCAATAAGAGATGATCCTTACTGGACCTCTAGAGGAAACAGTTTAGAACTGATAGAGCTATCCAGTATAAATGAAGTTAGTTTCCTCCTGTAGTAACTAGTAACACTGGATCAACAAGAGATGACCCTGAGAATAGTTTAGAACTGATATAGCTATCCAGTATAAATAAAGCAAGTCTCACTTGGATTACTGATCACTCGACAATTACATATGCAAGACTGCTCTCGTATTACGACGAAGGTCTAGTAAAAAATGCAGTATTACGAGACATACCGTTGTCGCGTAGGTCCACCGTACTACGACATCTTGTTAATTTTGGTGTCACCACACTTGTCCTTTTCCTGAAAAAAATGTTGTTTATATGTTTGGCTTTCATCAAATGCCGCCCGCGGTTTCTAGGGCCTCGCACATTTGCGCTTGGGGTTAATCCTATTGTATATTGTGACCAATAACGTCAAGAACACCTTCGTTCACGTTTGACCACCATGGCCGATCTCTCGTCAATTTTGAGCTGGTTCAAATTTTAATGAGACGTTTTTTAATGAGACGAGTTGCAACTCTCATCAACTATCATCCTTGTTTTTCCAAGGCTTTAGTGACAACCTTCACCAGCCTGACACACTTACAACTTTGTTGCCAACTATATTCAGGTTCTTACCTGGGACTCAAAACGGGCTCCGATAACTTCCTTTCCTTCATGTAATCAAATGGATTGGGTTGTTTCTCCTGGCCGTTCACAACTTTCTTGGAAAGTTTGGAATCTTTCACGGAATGTCTTTCACCACTTTTACCATCTTCTACCCCTTCAACAGCATCACCATTTATTCCGTTATACCCCTTACCTACACCACTTTTATCCTCTATGCTTTCGTTCGATCCCTCGGTGACACTGGGCAAATGTCCATCGCGTCGAGTCGGAAGGATATTCGCAGAACTCATTATAGAAATTTCTGGAACTTGGAATTCTGGAATTTCTGTAATTCTTATTGGAACACTGTCGTTTCTTAGAACAGGGGACTTGGTATTGACTTGTCGAGATATCACTGATATTAGCGTAATTCGTGCAGCAGCTTTTTGAAATGTGGTTGGTTTGTCCAAACTCGGCCTTATTACAAGCTCTGAAATAATGAGGAAAAACTATGTTTATGAATTACATGTTCACAGTGGATGGCATGGAGAACAGTGATATTTTCAAACCAATGAAAAGACAATGGAACATTTTGGTTACTGGATCATGATTGGATGGCATGGAGAACAGTGAGATTTTCAAAACAATGAAAAGACAATGCAACATTCGGATCACTCGATCGTGACTGAATGGCAAGGAGAACAGTGAGATTTTCAGAACGATGGAGAACAATGGAACATTCTGATCGGCTGGATTGTGACTGGATGTTATGGAGAACAGTGGGATTTTCAGAACAATGAAAAGACAATGGAACATTCCAACAATTCGATCGTGGCTAGATGACACCATCGTTATGTTAGGTTTTGTTGTGCAAATGCAGCAGCGTTAGGGCCTGTTTACATGGAGGTAGGGTGACCCTATCAGGAGGGTTACCCTAGCAAGCGGGTCAGAAAATAGTGTGCGTTTACATGAGGTAGGGTGACCCTACTGCTAGGGCTATGTTGCCCGATAGGGTAACCCTACCTATGCGTGGTCGCTAAGCGGTCTGTATTAGATAAAGGGCGCCGAAACGCAAAGTTTTAGCGGCAAGTTGTGTAATGCTGCATTTCAATGTTGTGGTCTGTTACTTCAATGTCGTGGTCTATTATTTCAATGTTGTGGTCTATTACTCGCATTGCGTAAATAAGCGCAATGTATTCCTTGATATAGTCCAACACAACAGTTTTTCGACATATTCGGCTGACCAAGAGCATTTATTTTGTTTTTTTGACGTCGATGAGGATGCGCCGGATTTTGGTTCCTTTTCGCCGTCTTTGACAATTTGTTATCGAAACTACATCATTCGCAGCGTTCTCGTCCAAAGCCAAAGCTTCGTTCTATGCATCTGCTTCCTTATTTGTAAATTGCTTATCCTTTTTATTTTCTGGTGTCGTTTAAAATACTCGCCAGGCTGATATGTTCATATGTATAATCTAGCGACGCCATCCTTGTTTGTCTGTCACAGTAGGACGTATAAAACATGACCCGCTTGCTAGGGTAACCCTACCTGACGCGTTTACATGGCTTATGTAAACAAAAAGATAGCCCTGCTGCTAGGGTCACCCTATCTGTTTGATAGGGTAACCCTACCCCTAGGGTAACCCTAGCGCGCATGTAAACGCTTCCTATAAAACATATTGAAGTAGGGTAACCCGCTTGCTAGGGTAACCCTTCTGCTAGGGTCACCCTACCTCCATGTAAACAGGCCCTTAGTGAGAACTGCTCGAGATAACATTGGTTATGACATTTCAGACAGAATAAAATACTTTGTGCGTGTTTACCTTGGCAGCCGCCTTCTGTGGCCAACATTCTTTCTCGTACGCTCGATACTTGCAAACAAAACACTCACTCTTATTGACCTAGAGAAAACGAAACCAACTAAAATTCAACGAATTCCTTCCACAAATATCTTAACCTTGATTTGCTGTGGATTAAATAAACTGTTGATGGCTTTGTTTTAACAACGGCTCCTTATTTGCAAACCTGTCGTACATCGCACCGTATGCTAATCAAATGACAAATCACTTGTTAAAAGGTTAACAAGCAATCAATGGCATTGAAATAGACTGTATACTGGTTATTGCACTTTTGCCCCAATGGCCTTACTGTCATGTTTGATATATAGCAAGCGCACATGAAGTTTATATCCCGGTGCAGAAATGCACAGCCCTTATAAAGAAAGTACTAGCACATATTTCCTGGCTTAGAACTATATAGCGTGAGAAACCGCTAAATCTAAAAGTTAACTTACGTACACAGCGCTAAAACTTGGTGGTCAAACCGTTTTCATTGTGCGCAATTTTGGAAGTAATTATCTCATTACCATTACGCCAGCAAGTGTGAAATGATGTTTCTAATAATTTCGCCATGTTTCGCGCAAGAGATACGTCGGTCAATTAAAGTTAATCATTCACTAATTGATCAATTGCAGTCTTAAAAGCATTGTCCATCAACGCGAAGCTGGGGATTAAAACTACTTCAAATATGTCCAAGACTCCAAGAGCCCTTTGGAGAAAATGTGTCAAATATCTTAACAGGTCGTTTCGTAACTTTGGCTACAGTTTTACGGGAGGGAGACATATTCTCCGTACGTTTTCTGGTTCCTTGGTAGTGGCTGAATTCCACTGTCTAATAAGGTTTGAAGGCAGTGTCATACGAGACATTTTTTGCCACCCTTCAGTACAATTTCTGAGACATGTTGTGTACAAGTATTAAATCTTAAAAACATTTGAGCAAGGCCCGTATTCTACTTTGCTGAGTTTTCTTTGAATAGCATCCTCTTAAAGAATGATAAATTAAAGAAATATGATGAAAAATTCCGCAGAATAAACCGTACATGGCCATGCCCAATTCCACTGACGCTACTTCTTTGATAACATGGCTCTATGTGTCAGAAATTTTGTTGCAAGTGACAGCAAATATAGCCTCGTGTATAAAATGCCCTTAATTAACCATACCAACAAAACTCTTGTAATCTAATTGGGGTCAACACTTAACGGATTGCTAGAATTTTCGTCAGGATATTAAATGCTAAACCCTTTCCGTCCCAGACAACCGCTTTTATATTTCGTCATGCCCAAACGAAGCAACCACCACGAGACTAAAAGCTATATAATCCTTTGCCAATTTCACGAAATATAAGAACATATACGTGCTCCGAATATTATCATCTCGTAAATCCAAGATTTGAGTTTTGTTTTCAAATAGCCTAACCAGAAAAGTAATTTAACCATATACGCAAATACATATTGAGCTACAGCACAGCAGACTGTGGACAACCCGTAATTATATCAAAGTACATGAGAAAATGATGTTAATTCTTTTCATTTTATGTTTGGTGGCCAATGAATAACACGGTTAGCAAGCCTTCTTATAAAAGTTTTGACATTTCTGAAGAGTGCAGAAGACCAACATCTTTTAATGTCTAAAATTAAACTGACACCATGCATGCTAGAATGAATGCCTGTCAAAATGATTTCAGCTTAGACAAAAGCAAGCACACTAGTCAATACACACACAATAAGCATAACATAGAATTAAAACCATTTCCCTTTGACAATATTATAATGAATTGATTATATATATTAGTCGATTAATCTTCACAGAGTTATAATTACACGTAGGCTATAGAGTATCATTGCAAATACACATAGATATCAACGCCGTTACTCCCCGTTAGCCAACATGAAGACTCAATAAAACGTTTAAAAGATATTGAGATATTTACCTAAATCCGTTCAAAGATCTTGTTATTGAACGCTTGAATAAAGATAATTACTTTTATAACGAGCACAGTATACACAAACGCACTCTTGAAGGATATACGGCAAAACACAGCTGTCTAAGACAACACTGTTAATCAGAACCCCAGCCTTGCTTTGATGGTTCAAAGCTAAAAACTACCACTTCATTCACCTCAAAGAGCTCGATCTTAAGTGGGCTCCATGACTCCCTTGTGACTAACTAACAAACAGACCGCTATTAAAGTATTTAAACGACCTGATGAATATCAACTAGTTCGGGCAAGTGACCCAAGAGTTGCGTAAAAAAACTAAACAAATACCGTTTTATAAACAATTTATGTACAGCTACCACAATACCAAACTTAAAGTAATTCCCCACAGACTTACCAGCATTCTGAAATCAGTATTTTGTTCACAGATTTGCCACAAGTAAACACATGTATGTCTAGGCAAGACTTGTTATTAACAAATGAAATATTATACGGAGCGGTTGGAGTGCGTTTAACTGGTCACCTCGCGCGACAGGGGGTGTACAGATAATTTGAGGTTGAAGGTGAGGACAGACATATGGGGCGTGGGGGTGTAGGGTTACACTCGCTCAAGAAAGAAAAACAAGGGTGTGGAATAGAATGGAATGTTTAATTTTCATAACGGATTCCTTCGCAATGTTGATGAGATGAAATCTACGATAAAGCCCTTTCCGAATAATTCTGAGTAGGTGTCTGTGTTGATATCTATGGTGTTGATAAAGTAGGCGGCTTTGGGAAGCGGTTTAGGGAGTCTTAAAGTCATCCAAATTAACTTAGTTTATATTGATTAGATAGCAACACAACAGCTCTGTAACCAAATTATAATCAATGTACTTCCAAAAACATCCCCATTTCTATTTCAAAAAAAAAACATCCCCATTTCACATAAACAGCAAATATTTTTCGTCATTGTGAAGACCTTCCGCTGCTGTTTCTTTACAACTGTAGGGAGCCACCTTAAGTCATCCCAATTAACTAGACATAAGTGTATATTGATTATATAGCAACACAACTGAGCTCTGTCACCAAATTATAATGAATGACTACTTTCATTCTTCAACAAGATTAATTCAAGATTTAAGATGGCAAATAACTAAATCATTTTGATGAACTGATAGTACATCGTTTTTGAAAATGACCAGGCTATAAAGTAGACCAGGTTGAGGAAAAATAACTTTGTTTGAACGTTTAGATCGAGCGGAGGAAAAAATTTCCATGAGAAAGAAAAGAATTGACATCATTTTCTCACTCTGATGTAACTGCAGGCGGATCACCCATGCAGCAAGGATGGGTTGACTACAAAATTTTTGTAGTTCGCTATAACTACAGCTACTTCAAAAATATGTAGTCAGCTACAACTACTGCTACTTTTGAACAAAGGTAGTTCGCTACTGACTACAGCTACTGCTTAAAAAATGTAGGCGAACAATTTCGCTATTTCGCTATACTATATTTTTTAGTTTTACTATATTTGGAGAATCTACTAACCCAGGCTGTAATGTAATCTATGGCCATCTATAACAAATCGACTTACGAGTAGCAACAGTAAACACAGAGCAACATTTTTTGTGTTTAGGATGTTCAGGAGTGCAAATTGACTATTGAGTATTGATTTTAAGCAAACCGTGTCTCAATATCATGCTATTCTATCAAGTTGCTAACAATTTTAAAAAGTAGCGAATAGCGATTCGCTGTTTGAAAAGTAGTCAACTACTTGGCTACTTTTAGGCAAAATGTAGTTCACTATAACTACAACTACTGTTTTGAAAAAGTAGTCAAAAACTACTGGCTACTTGAAAATTGTAGTTCGCTACAGTAGCGAACTACAACTACTTCGCTACTACCCACCCTTGTCCAGGTCTATTCAAAATTCCACCCAATGTACAACACCACCAGATGAGTTGCAAAGCAGACTTGAGCATTTGAACAAGAGACCACTCCCACCAACCAATCATGAAATGTCACCACCAGAAAAAGTCTGAAGAACTGCCTGTGCAGAAGAAAAAAGAGATGAATTAGGAAAAAAACTGTGACAAAAAATATGAAAACTCCAACAACAATTACGCCTTACAAAATGAAAAGGCTAACACCATGGGTGAAGTTATCAAGACATTGCAAGAGAAACTGGTGATTAGTTCAAGGGAAGCAGAAACTCTTCATTCTACCTTTGAAAATACACAACTGGAATTCCTGTACAATTTTAAAGGAAAGCTACACCATCCAGCAGAAGGTATTCAGATGGAATTAAAGAATTTGCTTTAACATTGTACTTTTACTCAACAAAAGCATACAAGTATGTCCACTC